AAAAAAAAAAAAAAAAAAAGTAATCTTAGCCTACTCTTTGGAAAAAAGGAATCTTAGCCTACTCTTTGGACAGGTATTGTTATTACCATGGCAACAGCATCTGGACCACCTTCTTTGGACACACACACACACACACACACACACTCATGCCAGTTTATACCCAAATACTGGGAGGCTGAGGTGCAAGCTTCACTGTTCAAACCTATCCCCGGCACATTGTCTCCACCCTGCTCAGTTATGGGAAGATAAAAGAGAAGTACCCAGCACCAGAGACAACAGTAGCCACACCTTGTTCCTTAGGGGTCAGTCTCCCACCAATTCCTCCTCTCTCCTTGGTTGCAGTTTAGAGCTGATCTGGAGAACCTTACTCTTTTCCTTGGGTTATTACCGATTCTTTTCCAGAGCCCTGACTGGCAAAGAGCTCAGAGGCCAGTGCAGAGCTGAAAGATTGCCCTTAGGACCATTTTGTAATAGCCAAGGAGGGATTAATCGATCAGTACTTGCTGAGTTTCTGATATAAGTCTGGCAATGGATAGTGCCTGAGAGTGGGAACGGAAGGGAAAGCTGCTCTGTTCACCTACCATGGCTGATGTGACCCTTCCTGATTATGCCACTGTCCTGACTTGACGTTTTCTAGACCCAAAGTTCTTTGGGAGGGAGGGCATTTCTACCATTGCTTCCTTTCAAAACAAAGAGCTGTTTTATACCCGAGAGATAGTTCTCAAGCCTTCAAGTTAATACACAAAAAAGCTTTGAGGGAAGAAGATGCCACTGGCTGGGGTTCTACCTTACTGGGTTTGGAGACTATATTTCCCCTCCCACCCACCTCCCAGGGTTGCAGTTGTTGCTACCCAGATATCTGAGAGAGCAGTTCTAGTTGTCAGGCTGTTGAGAAAACCTCTTGCTTTCCTAGCTCAGAGCCAGGGTGAAAGCCCTCCACAGAATTGCAGCCCTTGAAACTGCCTGGCTCTCCAAGAGCTCCTCTGATGCTGCAAGGCCAAAGTGAGAAGTGGGGTAGGAAAGGCTGCCCTTGACCATTTTAGTCAGCATCTCTAGGACAAGTGAGTGAATGTGCTGGTTTGGATCTGGTTTCTCTTTAGCTCCTGGTACTCGTGTGGCATTCTTGCCATTTGATAGTATTCAATTAGTCTTCAGGCATTTTGTAAAACTGGACCCATGCTCTGCCTCCACACTTTTTGTATGTGCTACACTGACTTACTCTGAACCAGACAAAACTACACTGCTCGGCAAACAGCCACTTTTGGAGGGAGGCATCACAGTAACACAGGTTACCAAGGTAACAGCCACTGTTCCCAGATGACATCAGGCTTGCAGAAGTCAATGTTTTGCTGTTCAGTAATGGCATTGTCTTACTCAGCAGAGAATAACCAGCTACTGCTCTTTGGCTCTTTTCTGATTTCACTGTTATCCTAAAGACTCATTTGAAACAACCTCCTTCCAAGTCAGTATAAACTTTAATGCATTATCATTTCCCCCATAAACGTTTTGTGTGGACACTATTGAATTCAATGTTCCTCTTCACTTCCAATCCTAAGGGATTCCATATGGTTTAGATAGTGAGCTCCCTGTTTCTGGAGGTAATTAAGCAGAAGCTGTACAAACGTTTAATTGGTTGTTGTAGAAATAGCTCCTGCATTGAGGGTTGGCTCAGACAACTTCTAAAGTTCCTTCCAATCCCAGATTCCATGATATAATGTGTCTAATGCAATTGTTAAACAGCAACACACTCCACATCAGAAGTAGTAGCAGTTCAGTACCGTGTTAGAGATGGTCTATATTTCACAAAAATATTTTAGATACTCTGTTATTGAATAACTGAAAACTCAGTGGCTACTTCATCATGTGTACTTGGCCCAAGCATTGCTCACCCCAGGAGCTGGGACCCAATACATGTCCTCGAAGTTGCCCTTATCTGTGGCAATCTTCCTCTGGAAAAAATAATTCAGCATCCATATCAGAGAACTGTCCCTGTGGGCACCTTATTTGTTCCTGCCTTTTTCTCAGGGCTTTCATCCCCTAAGGAAGTAATTTTCAACATCTTTCTTTACTCCCTCTCTGTTTGTAATGTACAACCTACCCAATCAGCTGCCCTGACTCTAAATAGGGTGCCTGATGTTACCTAGGGCAGGAATTGAGTTCCTCCAACATTCATCTCTCACCTGGACACATTTAATTGGTCAACTGATTCTTACCAAAGCACACAAAGAAAATCCAACCACGTTTGAAAGTGTAAGAGTCAGCCTGTACACACATTATTGTATAATTTACAATTGTTATAGAGCTTTCCCACTTTCAAAGGACTTCCATGTCATTATTATTTGAGTCTCACAACCCCCAAAATTGACAAAAGCTTATTGTTACCCCCATTTCCCAGATGATGAAGTAGTGATTCAGTGATCTGCCCAAGGTCACGCAGTTTGTAAGTGGCAAATCTGGGATTTGAACCTGGTTGTTCTGACTTCTGGTCCAGTGCTCTGCCCTCTTAACTATCCTACCTGAATACATGCTTCAAAGAGCTTTCTCAGTGTTTCAGGAGGAAAGAACCTAAAGACTGACACTAGCTCAGTATAATTGAAAACCCACCTCCATGGATGTTGTTGGAGTCTACTGAGTACTACATTTAATGGTGAATACATGGAGCAATTGAGTCTCATTTCATTTACAATGTGTTCAAGCTGCTACTCTTATTTTGCCAAATGCTGGCAATGTCTACATGTCTCTGTGGCATCCTGTATTAACAAAGACGCTTGAATTGTGCACGCCTTGCTCTGAGTAGACACTACCAGATATCACAACCTCATAGCTTCTCTCTTTGTTCATGAAACCTAGAAAAGCCCTCAGTACTCGACCAACTCAGCAAAAGCCCGAAGGTCCCACCAGTCTTCTTGTCACAGCAGGGACTAAGAATAAGGCTAAGTGTGTGATATTTGCTAGAAATGGTCACGCATATGTATATACACACACGCACATACATACACACCCCTACCCATATCTGTTCCCAATGGCAAAGCCGTTGAGGACTTCACATTTATTTCCTGAACCTGAGAATGGCCTCCTCAGCCATGGCCAGGCCTGAGTCCAGCATGCTTGATTCCCCAACTTCCTACTGATGCCAAATGGGATCAAAATTTTATATCAAGCAAGCAGCTATTTTGTTCATCTGCGAGCTAGCCAACACTCAGTTGCCCCCAGCAGAACCAAGGGTACCAGCTGACCCAGCCATTATCAGTGCCTTGGAATCCGGGGAAAAGGAAAGTAGAGGGAAGTGAGGGGGTACGAAGACACATGAACACATCCATCCTGCTGGGCACTCTCTCCAAGGGTCTGTGGGACTCTCCACATGTTGCTGGAATTCTTTGGCATAAAGCATCATGCTCATTACAGCAGAGAAGGAGTTAATCTAATTGAGTGCTAAGGCATTGAAAAAGAAAACAAGTGCCCAAACACAACTTATTTAAACCCCTGGAAACCCCAAACCCAAAGGTTGGAAATTCTCTTGTGAATTCCTGTGCCTGCTTGAATCTTCAATTCTAAAGTTTCTGAAACTCACCCATGTCTTTGGGACTCTGACTCCAATTGTAGCCGGCTGACTAGTCTGCTCTGCGGCTGACTTTGTTCAGCTGGAAGGATCCTGGTCTCTCCAGACTCCTTCTTCGGTCCTTTACTTTTTCTCTCTGAGTATCTTTGTCCTCTTCTCCTGCAATGAAAAGGGCTTTCTGATTGACAGCCAATCCCCTTAAAGGGACAGGCCCGCTTTCCTCCTCCTCTCCTCCTCCCCTTCTCCTCCCTTTGTCCCCACCTCCTCGGGGATACTCCGTTCTGTAAGGGCTCCATCTTCTCTTTCTGCCTTTCACTGCCAATTGTTTCCTTTTTTCTCTTTTTTTCTCTAAGTCTTGCCTGGAATTTCACTTTGCTGCAGAGACATCTGGAAACGTGGATTGAAGGTGGAAATAAAATGAAGTGGTCCTGGAAGCCTACAACTGATGCTTGGGTCTATTTGGTATGGGATGTGGAAGCACAAGTGTGAGAAGCCATGGAAGTGATAGCCGTGACAGGGGTCAGGGTCAAAAACCTAGATGTTATCTCCCAGAGTCCTTCCAAATCTGCCCCAACCCCACCTCTCAATTTTAGATGCCCTGGGCCCTGTCCTCCCTCTTTCCCCTTGCAAAATAAACACTCCTCCCCCCACCCAGCTCCAGGAACACAATAGAGAAGGAAAAAATTTGTCTTTTAAAATAATTTCCTTCAAATCCTTCTTGGTTTCAATGGAATGAGGACAAATGCAAGCTGTTGATTCCACAAACAGATTGTGAGCAAGCTGGGGGAGGCTAGAATTGTAATAATCTTATAGATAGGATAACAGAGACCCAGAGGGGGCGAGACCTGTGCAAGTTCACTGAATAGGCTAAAGAAAAGGCCAGAGCTGAGGATGTGGGTGATTTCCACTCGACTTTGAGACAAGTCAAGAACACGATCTTGGAATCAGGTGGTCAATATTCCATCCTGTAAATGTTGTATTTTCCTTCATCTGAGAGCTGAAGCCAGGCTGGTGAGAGGCAGGGAGTGGGTTGGGATGGAGCAGCAGGTGGCAGTGAGGATGGAGAGAAGGAGTAACGAAACATAGTACTTGTCTCAGAGAAAGACACATTAAGAAAAGACAACGAAGCAGCAAAAACAGAGAAATAATATATGAAACCTGCCTTACCAGTAATCGTTATTTCTAAAGATTGTGAAGGCATTTGAGTGCCCAGTGTTAGGTGGAATTAGCCTGGAAAGGTTTTCTAGAACAGGTGAATCTTAAGCAGTGTCTATCTAGGCTCCTTGTCAGTGTTCTTTGTCCCTTTAGAAACCTCAGAGACACAGCTGTTTTGATCCAGAGGCCAGTGTCCTCCCATGGATGGCCTATAAGGAAGCTGGCTGGCATATAACAAGAGGGGGCACCTGTTTGAAGACTTCAGAGAAGGAAGGTATGGTCTCCCAGAACTTTTCCTGTGGCTTTGCCTTGGGGTAAGAGAGGAGAACAGAGAGATATGAAACAAAGCCTAGAATATTCTTGCAGGGAGAGAGAAGCAAGATTGTATCTTACAGCTTCTCTTTGGGCTGTGACCTTGGACATGTTTTTGGTTTGGGCTCTGCTGTTAGGAAGTGGGTGAATCTTCTGTAGATATCCCCAGGGACCATCCAGGCACCCGAGTCTTGCAAGATTTGAGGCTTGCTCAGAGTCTAGAACTCTAGATCCTTTGCTCTTATACCAGCCCCAAGGAGAAAGGATCCCTGTAAATGCTGCCCCTTGCAGAACAGGATAGTAGTAGCCTTCCACAGCAGACCATCTAAGGCCATATGGCTTACGGTAGAGGGTTTTAGGGTCCCTAACCTCCCCATCCCTGCTCTCCACCATAGACTCTGCCTGCTGTGTAAGCTCAGTTATAGGATTGTGCCAGCAATGAACTTCTGGATGGTCATTATCAGAATGGCCCTGGAGGAGGGGAAAGACCAAGAGCAAGAAGTTGTCAAACATGTGCCCTCGGCTCATCAGATGGCAGAAAGAGCTAAGCGCAGACTTTGGGGGCTTTAAGGGACGAGAGAAATGATATCTCACAGCTTGAATAGATGAGACAGCTCTGCACACAAGGGAAATTGCTCAGACTAAGCCCTCTCACAAATTTTCATCTGAATTCTCAGCAGCTGCTCTGGGGATGGCTAGGCTACCCAGAAGAAAATATGTCTTCCCAATAATCTCACAGATACCAATTTATCAACCACATTCCCCTAATACACATTTCTCTTCTTTCCTCCATCCCTATTGTTTTCTATTTATTTTACCTTATCCCCAAGTCTCAATCTCTCTGTGTCTCTGTTACTCCATCTCTGTCAATGGTTTCTCTCTATGTGCCTGACCCTCTGTGTATCTGTCTCTCTCTGTTTCTTTCTTTTTTGCTTTCCACGCTCCTTGATGGAGCAGATCTTCCTGTCTCTGCCTTGTTCTTATGCCCAGGGCTGAGAAAGAAGCTCTTCCAGGTGACTGTTTCATGTTCACTGTGCCCAGGGCCCTAAGGTTCCCAACTCCCTAGGATCTAGTGTGTTCCCATCATTCTGTACATCCCGACACTCTGCCTCAGCACCCTCTCAGCAGCACTTCTTTACTGAGCCCTCCCCACAGCCCTCACAGGGTTTCTTTCCAGGTCCTCAAGAAGCTTCTTTTTATCTCGCCACCTCAACCTATTTCTGTGATTCTGCTTCCATTGGTTCCATTGGGTGCCCTTGGCAAAATGTTCTCCAGAGTCCAGCTGGGCTCCCGGCAGTGCCCAGGGATTCCTCAAGAGGGCACTGCCAGCCTTCTTGGTGGTGGCTGCTGCCTGCATTGGGTGCCTGTGGGAACAATGCAGGATTGTATGAAACTAGTAAACAGTTTGCTTCATGCAATTCTGATGGTTCCTCAGAGAATCTGGGCCCCCTTAATCATATCGTGGTTTGGTTGTGCAGCTTTCTTGCAAACAACTCCAGAACACTTTTATATTACCTCCACTCTGCTCTGTGATCCCATACTACAGATTCTTGAAGGCCACAGAGCAAGTGGGTTCTCTTTGCTCCATTCTGTAGACTGAACTCTGAAACTCAGGAAAATCCAGTGAATTTCTCCCAGGAAACCAGATAAGGGTTCAAATGCCCAATCCAGTGGCCCACTTCTTTATGTCCATGTAGGAGATCATAAAGAGGAACAGAGAAGGCACAGTACCAGTGAGAGCCTGGAGTCACCTGCTAGTATTTGGGCTTCTAGAGCTGAGGTTTTGCTTCTCCTCCCCAAGATAACATCCTCTCAGACCAAATTTGGGAACGCAAGTGGCTGCTTCTTACAGCTTTTCTAGTACTGCCATAGAAAGCTGGCTGGCTGGTTAGAACTTTCCACATCCAATTTCATGCCAATTGGTTTGGCCATGTCTTTCTGGCCAAGAGAACTGAGGGCTAAGGGCCAAAGATGTCACATACTTTTAGCTGGCATGGGGTGGGGAGGGGCGGAGTTGAGGGTGCTTCTCTACCTCTCCAGAAGATTCATGGAGCAGTGCGAGAATAGACAGGGGAAAGTGGTAAATTCGACATATATTCATGAGGGGGAGATGCCCATAGCTTGGAGATAGGCTGTAAGCCAAAATAATCAAATGAATAAACTCAGGTAAAGAGTGCCTGAGGAGCACCAAATAGCTACTAGCAATGTGGAGAAACCAGTTGTCCACATACCCACCTCCACCACCATGAAAACTTGGCCAGCTTTGGTAGAGTAGCCCCTGCAGAGAGGCTGCATGTTTGATATGATCTCTGAGCACAGCAGAAATAGAACTACTATCTTTGGCTGTCAAATACTGACATAACTCTGGGGGACTCATGTTATTTGTTCCGTTTGACTGATGGGGTACAGAGGCAGCTTTCCCAGTGCCACCTAGCCGGCAAGGGAGAGAGCCACCTCTGGAAAATGCCTCTCTCCAGACTCTTATTGCCTGAAGTTGCTTGGAAGATTGGTATGCTCCAAAAGGAAAGTCTGAATAGAGTCTCCGCCCTGAACAAGAACAGATGGTGGCAGTTGCCGGGGGATGCTTCAGGCTGCTGTGGCCTGAGTTTCCACCCCTCTATCCTTCTCAGGCTACGTAGGAGGCCCATGTTCGACATCCAGAACAGAAACAAGTTTTGTGTGGTTTGTAGAATCAGTGGGATTCCATATCAGTCAGTGAAAGTCAGTGAAGAGTAGATGATACTAAGCATTTTTTGTTATATTTGTTAGGTGTGATAACATGGTGATTATGTTTTACAAAGGGTCTTTATCCATGCATAGAGAAATATTCATAGGTAAAATGTCATGATACCTGTGATTTTCCCTCTCCAGAAAATTTTAGTAACAAGGTTAGGTGAAATAACATTGGCCAAATGTTGATAATTATTGAAGCTGGGCGATGGGTATGTGGAGATTTATTATACTATTTTCTCTACTTTGAATATGGTTGGACATAAGGTCAGAAAAGAGGATCCGTTGAAGTTAAAATTCAGACTTACCCAGAAAGAAGAAAAAAATTTCCAAGAGAAATCTCCGATATTTCTAGGAGGATGCATATGGCCTGGTAAGAGTGGCTGCTTCTGGGAAAAGGGAGAGAGACTTTTCACTCTATGCCCTTTAGTATGGTTGGAATTTGCAATTATATGCATTTCGCACTTGTTTTATTGAAAATCTCATTCGAAAAGGCCTTCAGGCCAGGTGAGGGACAGCAGTTGGCAGGACCCTCGTGTTTACTCTGCTGATCTCAGGTAGATTGTGAGAGTGAAGCCTTCACTGAGGCAGGCTGCCAGCCTCCACACACCACCCATGCTGCTCACACCCTTCTTCTGCTGATGTCTCTGAAACACTGAGCTATTCTGAAACATAGCTGCCCCTAGCCTGAGGAGAGGACTCTCAGGAAACCCTCCTGAGGCAAAGCTGAGTGGGGAAGAGGAGTTGCTGCTCTTTCCCTGTTCCCTGTGGAAGGAGAAGACACGAGCCCTTGAAACTGGAAAGGTCTTCAGCCCAAGAGGCAGCCTTCCAGGGGAGCAAGGCCCCTCCTCACCCCTCTACCGGCCCCACAAACACTGACAGATTTATCCAACCCTGAAAGGACTGGCTCTGGAAGCTCCCCAGTCCTCCTCCTATCAAAGCCACTGCCCAGGGCAGCCTTTTTAGAAATGTGATTTCACCCCCTCCAA